GCCCCGGCCCTTCCCCCGCCCAGCCCGGGCCTCCGGGCCCCGGCGCTTTTCCCTTCCCGGCCCGGCCCTTCCCCCGCCCGGTTTAAGCCTCGTAGCCCCTGCCCGGGCCCTTCTCCCTGGTCCGGACCTTCCCCGCCCGGGCTGGGCCTTCCGATGCTGCCACCGGCCCCTCCTGCCCCGGCCCGGCCCCTCCGCTCCGGCCCCGGCCCTTCCCGGCCCCGGCCCTTCTCCCTCCGTGCCCCGGTCCTGCCGCCCGGTTTGGCCCTCGCAGCTCAAACTGCCGGGCCCTTCTCCCCATGCCGGGCCTTCCCGCCCCTACCCGGCCCTTACCCCGCCCGGTCTGGCGCTCCCTGCCCTCCTGCCCCAGCCCGGGCCTCCCTGTCCCGGCCCTGCCAGGCCCGGGCTCCTCTGCCCCTCCTGCCGCCCGGCCCGGGCCTCCCGCAGCCTCGGGGCGCTTCCTGCCCCGGCCCTGTCCGCTCCTTCCCGGGGCTCTCCCTGTCCCTTCCCGGGGTTCCCTTTCTCTCTCCCTTCCCGGGGTTCCCTTTCTCTCTCCCTTCCCGAGTCTCTCTCCCTCCCCGCAGCCTCCCCGCTCCCGGCCGGCCCCGTCCCTGACCCCCCTGTCCCCTCAGACCATCGACCAGTTCGAGTATGACGGCTGCGACAACTGTGAGACCTACCTGCAGATGAAGGGCAACCGCGAGATGGTCTATGACTGCACCAGCTCCTCCTTCGACGGGTGAGTGGGGCCTGGCCACGGTCCCCAGGGAGCCCAGGGATGCTGTGGTGGCACTGTGGGGTCACCCGGCCGGGAAATGTCCCCTCAGTGCCAATCCCTCCCGCAGGATCATCGCCATGATGAGCCCCGAGGACAGCTGGGTTTCCAAGTGGCAGAGGATCAGTGAGTATTTTGGGAGCCACAGATCCCTGATCCCCAGCAGACCCTTCTCAGGGATAGTGGGTTGGTTGGGCTGTGGAGAGGGTTCTGCCCCACGATGTCCCCTCCAGTGAAGGGACATCTGCACAGGTGTCCCTTCCCACCTGGCTGCTGCTACCTGGGGTAAGTCGGTGTTTTCTTCCCCCCAGGTACCTTCAAGCCAGGTGTCTACGCAGTGTCCGTGACCGGCCGCCTGCCCCAAGGTACCTGTGAGATGGAATCAGGGTTTGGGGGTTCAGTGAACACTGTGGACAGGGATCATGCCATGTGGGTGATGGGATCAGCAAGGTGGGAAGGGATCAGCAAAGTGGGAAGAGATCAGCAGGGTGACTGCAAGAATGTGCTGGACTGGGGAAGGGGCTTCAGGGTTCTGCACTGTGGCTGCCAGAAGCTGATATGAAGATGCTGCTGGCTAAAACCAGCTATCAGAGGGATAAACCGGGATTAAAGGGTGACTCTGGAAAGTGATCTCGTCTCCAGTGGTTCAGCTCTAGGGAAACACAGAAGTTTGTCCACAGAAAAGAGTTTTGCAGGATGGGGTGCTGTTAAGGCAATCCTGGTGAGCAGGTGCCCCTTCCTGTCCTCCTGCACCAAGGGCTCGTGCCACGGGGGGCTTTGTGTGTTTGTAAATGGAGTGGAGGGCACAGAGGATTTGCCCTATCTCTGGAATGCAGAAACAGCATCATCCCTCCAGCTGAGCCCCTGCCCAGTCCCCAGAGCAGATTCCTGACCAGGAGTGAATCCTGAATCCCCAGGGGGAAAGCTGTGCCAGTATCTGGGATCCCAGGCTCCTTATTTCTCACCTGAGCTCTGCATTGGGAAGGAGCTGGAACATCACAAGGCTGGAAGCCGAGGCCTGCTGGCACAACCCAGGCACACCTGAAATACCCAGGGATAGGGTTTAGGTTGGATTTTAGGAAAAGGTTCTCTCCCCAGAGGGTGGTTGGGCACTGACCAGGCTCCGCAGGGCAGTGGGCACAGCCCCAAGGCTGCCAGAGCTCAGGGAGTGTTTGGACAACACTCTCAGGGACAGGGTGTGACTCTTGGGGTGTCTGTGCAGGGCCAGGAGTTGGACTCAGTGATCCTTG